CTCCCAGGCCCTAACGAGCCCACTCCTATTCATTCCAGCACCTGACCATTCCATGTCCGGATTCTTTGAGCCCACTCTTATCCTCTGAAGAACATACAATCGGCTTTGGGGTCACAAAAGGTTTAGGTGGGGGCTTAGGGTCTTTAATCCCAAACTTTGTCCTTAGGAGGCTTAGGATCAGTAGTGATCTTTCAGGGAGCTCCAAAGTGGCTTTGGAGGAGACGTTCTTTGGCAGGGTCAGGGAGAAGTGGTGGTGGGAGGATGATCTATAAGAGGAATCAGAGGGGGTGGCGGACATCCCATGAGCAAGATGTCAGAGGAGGAGGAGTTTTTTCTGTTCAAGAACATCTTGGTGGGGCCGCGGGATGGGCCTCAGTACCGCCTCGCCCCTGTCTGGGCCTTCCACCTCCAGGCAGCCTTCACGGGCTTTGTCTTCGTTGTAGGGACGCCACTCAATGCCACAGTGCTGGTGGCCACACTGTGCTACAGAAAGTTGCGGCAGCCACTCAACTACATTCTGGTCAATGTATCCCTGGGGGGCTTCATCTACTGCATCTTCTCTGTCTTTGTCATCTTCATCACCAGCTGTCATGGATACTTTGTCTTCGGCCGCCATGTTTGTGCTCTGGGGGCCTTCCTGGGCTGTACAGCAGGTATTGCAGGAGAAGGGGGCTGGGGGGAGGCAAAGGACACCGCTCCATGATTGGAACCAGGGGCCAGGCTGTTGGGTGAGAGTGGGCCCCAAAGAGGAGTCTGGGGGATAGAAGTTTGGTGCTCTTTTGCATACTGAGATGTAAAGCCACCCAGACTAGAAGTCTGACCGAGTCCCAAACTCTACTTCACTAACCACTCCAACCTTCCCTCCCTGTGCTTTCTCCACCCCATCTGTATTCCACTCTGCCTGCCAGGATGAGTGGGGCTGTTTACCCTCTTACCCTCACATTTCATCACAGGTCTGGTGACAGGCTGGTCACTGGCCTTCTTGGTCTTTGAGCGCTACACCACCATCTGTAAGCCCTTCGGCAACTTCCGCTTCAGCTCCAAGCACGCACTGATGGTGGTCCTGGTCACCTGGACCATTGGTATTGGTGTCTCCATCCCACCCTTCTTTGGCTGGAGCCGGTGAGAGTGCAGGGCCACTGTGCTGACGTAGCTAGAAGCTCAGGTTGCGAGGGCGGGAAGAGAGTTGGGTATAGTCTTTGACCTCTAACTTTTAAAGAGCTGGTGGAATAAATAAGGGAAAGGGCTGTGGGAGACAAGTGCTAAAGTTTACCCTGCAGTTGCAATTGCTAAAGGCTCGCTGGTGAGGACAGAAAATACCCGCTGCCTGAAGTCATTCTGGGTTCTAAGTGGAGAACACAACCCAAGAATCTCATCTCCCTCTCTACTAATTGAGCCTCACAGTGAGTAAGTGCTTGGTCCCTTGCAGGTTTGTCCCCGAGGGTCTTCAGTGTTCCTGCACCGTGGGCACCAAATATTACAGCGAGTACTGTACCTGGTTTCTCTTCATTTTCTGCTACATTGTGCCTCTCTCCCTCATCTGCTTCTCCTACTGTCAGCTGCTGGGGGTCTTCAGAGCTGTGAGTGCCTTTCATGAGGGTCAGGGAGGAAGGGATCACAAGGCTCTAGGTGAGAGGGGAGAGCGGGTAAGTGCTCTGGAACATAAAACATTTGGAAACGTCCAGTCAGGTAGAGGGGTATCAAAAAGCAGTTAAGGAAGTGGGGACAGGGAGATGATGAAATGAAGAATAAGGCGGAGTCATTCCTGCTCAGGTGTATCAAGAGACGCATGTGATCTTTTCCATTGTCACAGACCAGAGAGCTGCCTCCATCTTGCCTTCCTCAAGGAGGGGGAAACAGAGGGACTAGGCCAAAAGCTGGGACAGCAGAGAGACAATTAGAGTAGATGGCCCCCTAGTTGAAGAGTCCAGAGATCTGGGAGTTCAGGGCCAGGGATAAGAGGGTGTGATGTTTTCTGTGCTCTTTCCAGGTTGCAGCTCAGCAGCAGGAGTCAGCTACAACCCAGAAGGCTGGGCGGGAGGTGAGCCACAAGGTGGTGATGATGGTGGGATCCTTCTGTCTCTGTTACACGCCCTATGCTGCCCTGGCCACATATATAGTCAACAACCGTAACCACGGGGTGGACTTACGGTTTGTCACCATCCCTGCCTTCTTCCCCAAGAGTGCTTGCGTCTACAATCCCATCATCTACTGCTTCATGAATAAGCAGGTAAAGCTCTCTATTTATATTCCTAAGACCTGGTTCTTCTCAACAATGACTTTTAACTCTAAGCACCTGGGACTCCACTCAAAGGGTTTCTAGGGGTCAACAGGGAAGGCATGGAAACCCTTAGCAGGCTAGAAAGCACTTGGTAAGTAAGCCCAGGGATGAAGGCGTGGTCATCCAGAGAAGATCACAGAACCCAGGGAAGACAACTTGAGCCATAAAATTCGAGTTGCTCCAAAGGGCAGGATGAGAAGTGAAAAGGCTTTCCGTTTCACTGAAAAACCGATAGATCAGCAGTGCCCCTAAATTTCCATTTCACGAGTTCTTAATCCTTTCCAACTTCTAGTCTGCACGACCATTTATGTGAAACACAGAAATCACAACACATGCGTAAGTTTCTAAAACAGCTTATCATCTGAAGGTACCAGGTGGCTTCCTATCCCAAATCCTGAATCTAAGCTAATAACCCAAACTCAGACAAATCAAGGAGGGTTCCTGTCTTATAGAGCTAACACTCTGCTTTGAGAATTGTTATTTTGTTTCCTCACTTCCAGAGATGGATTCAAAACGAATGCGAAACCTCCTGGACAGAAACAGAATTGGCAGTCCTTCCCCAGTTGGGAGCACTTTCAAGTAATGGTGGGGTGGGGTGGGTCGGCGGGGCTATTCTGGGGTCACTTTTGACAGTGCTCTTATGGGGCAGGGTGGTTTGTGAGGTTTCCCAACAGTGAAATTCTACACATTCTCAGAGTTAGCCAGAATGTGTAGGGATTATCACTGCAGACCCAGGAGTAGTGTGTAGCCTTAGCCTGGAATATAGCTAGCTCTCAGTATTGGGAAGATATAATCAAAACCACCTGAGGAGATCCTGTGTATAAGGCATTGTGCAAGGCTTTGAGGATACAAAGAATGAGATCTTTTTTCCCCTATGCTTCCTGATGTTATCTCCTCTGTACTGGTCTACCAAGGGGACTATCTCCAATTCTGCTCTTTCCTCCAGTTCCGAGCTTCCATCATGGAGATGGTGTGTGGAAGGCCCATGACAGATGAGTCTGACATGTCTAGCTCCCAGAAAATGGAAGTTTCTACCGTCTCTTCTAGCCAAGTTGGCCCCAACTAAGAAGCCATACTGGCCTGTTTGCAGCAACAAGGATTTTACATTTAAGGAAATTTCTACCTTGCCTGTCAAAAACCAAACGACTACAACACAGAAAACGGGAAGGGGAGTGATAGCAATTTGAGGTCAATTTTCCATTTTCCTACTATTTCCTTCCTACCTACACAAAGCTCCTGTTCCAGCTGGGTCTACTTCAGACCACCCCAAAGGCCATTTCAACAATCATCAGTTTCTACTCTTTTTTTAAATTTTTTGCGGTACGCGGGCCTCTCACTGTTGTGGCCTCCTGCGTTGCGGAGCACAGGCTCCAGACGTGCAGGCTCAGCGGCCACGGCTCATGGGCCTAGCCGCTCCACAGCATGTGGGATCTTCCCAGACCGGGGCACGAACCCGTGTCCCCTGCATCGGAAGGCGGACTCTCAACCACTGCGCCACCAGGGAAGCCCAGTTTCTACTCCTAAGTGGCAGGATTTACAGCACTTGGAGAACAGATTTCTACATACACGGCAACTGTAAAGCAGTCTGGCTGATGATTTTTCAGTGTGTACACAACAATTATTTTCCTTTCTAGTAACATTTTTTCCCTACTGGGGATCTGTTCAAAGATGATACATTTTGAATTAAAACAAACTTATGGAAACACTTTAGAAATGGGAGAGACATTAAAAAAAGAACCTTTAGAGTTTCCCTGGTGGCAAAGTGGTTTAAGAATCCGCCTGCCAATGCAGGGGACATGGGTTCGAGTCCTGGTCCGGGAAGATCCCACATGCCGCAGAGCAACTAAGTTCGTGCGCCACAACTACTGAGCCTGCGCTCTAGAGCCCGCGAGCCTAGAGCCCGTGCTCCACAACAAGAGAAGCCACCGCAGTGAGAAGCCCACGCACCACAACAAAGAGTAGCCCCCGCTCACCGCAACTAGAGAAAGCCCAAGCAGAGCAACGAAGACCTAATGCAGCCAAAAATAAATAAATAAAATAAAATAAAACAAAACAAAAAAAACCCTTTAGTAGGTCCCAAATGAGTTTGAAAGAACTTTCTTATGCTGTCACTGCCAGTAATTGCTATTGCTTTGGCTGGGACAGCCATGCCCACAAACCCCTGTACCAGCATGAATATTCCAGGTGCTTCCTTTCCCCCCACACCTCCTATCTGGCTAAACCTATATATCTGTCTTAAGCTGTGTATTTACTAAAGTTAATAGTTTAATTCCCTTCATGTTCTCAAAATGAATTTGCACATCTAATACCATTTGTAAACTATACAAAATGTTCAAAAAACTGTTTTACCTTATACTCCCTCTCCCCACCCCCTGAAGAAGACACTTTTTGAAATAAAAATCAAGATAAATGTGTGTACATTCAGAAATGGCTTGTGTTTGGTATCAGGCAATTATGTAATGAGCAGCTGGGCTCCTCTCCAGTTATATGGCCTAAGGGAAGCAGAGAAGGGTTACAGCTGTAGAAGGATGCTAGAAGATTTCAGGAATAGGAAGAAAAGAGTAACCAATTTGGGAGAAGGCAGTAACTTCTCTGGGTTGGAGTGGGGGGTATGTTAAACCTTCTAGGAGAGCTCTTTTTCTGTGCCATTTTATAACACCCATAATTCTAAGCAAGAGTTCCATTTCCTAAGAAAATAAAGGACATTCATAACCCACAGTGAATGTAAACAGTTTTATTTAGAAACAGATAGGTACCTGTTTGCATTATAGAATATAAAACTGGGTTTACACTCTATAAAAAATAACCAATATCCAAATTCAAGAGAGCTAGCATTCACAGAACACACAATGTGGGTGTGCAGCTACTGTTCACCAGCCTCAGGCTTGATTTAAACCAAAAGAAAAAAAAAAAATCCAGGGGGATCATTAGAGATTAGAGTACAATGCTTACTGATGAGCACCCAGCATCCAGAAGTTGCTGTCTTAGCAGATGGAAGTTTGCTTTCTAGGTGCGTGACTTTAACATAAGGCCTGGGTTCTCTGTACCTAGTGACCTATGAGGATCTCCTGCCACACAATTCATGATGTGCCCTCTCCAAGCCAGGGTTGGTGGGCATTATTAATTATCCCTGATCTTCTTAACAATAAAAATGGGGAATCTGGAAGGCAGAGAATTTCCACTCCCTTATACTGGGGGTAAAAGAATGTATCCACTCTCAAGAGCTCAATGCAAAGGCTGGGGTGGAGTTACACGATATCCGGCTTTTTACCAGGCCAAGTAGCCCACCTCAACGTGATTGTGGAAGACCAAAGGATACACCTAGGTTCAGATTATAATAATCACCCAGCACCACCTGAATGTATTATCCAGAAAGATATATGAAATAATAACGGATATATATATATATATATTTGTCTTAGTATCCTGAGGGCTAAAAACTTGGAATATAATAATTCTTCTCAAAAGAGGTCCATCTGTATGAAAGGGACCAAAAAGGACAGTTTCCTGTTACGCAAAATATAGGTAAAGTGAGTTGGGAACAGAGGTGGTTTCTTCAGCTCCTTCTACAATGTCCCTCTCTTTGATCAGGATTGGCCATGTTGATTCACGATAAACTTTTTTTTGGCAGTGGGGAGACAGGAACATAGGGAGTGATGGGTCGAAGGCAGGAAGGGTGAGCGATGGTCCTCAAACAAAAGAGCCCTCTCATCTTTGAGTCTTAGCTCAAGCTCTCCAGCTGACACAGAAACAGGCCTGGTAGTAAGTGGTTAGCATTCTGAGGTACGAGGATCCCTGGTAAATTCAGCAGCATGTGGTTTTTGGAAACCAGCCCACAAGATAAGAACACTGCAACCAAGCCCCTAACTAATACTGCTATTTAACCACCATCCAAAGGAGAAAGGAAAGAAAAAAATCCCACCACACTAGGAGGTTCTAAGCTTTCATTTAAGGTGGTCCAAAAAATCTTCTCTTTATTTTATCTTCGAGTTTCTTAAGAGAATCCTCATTCAGTGATCATTTCTCTCATTAAAGGCACTTTCAATGACATGACTGGAAAGGAGTACATTTTAACTGCAGTGCAGATTAATTCCTTGGAACACCTGGGGAAATAGGAGCTGAATGGGGGCACTTACAGTGATTCAATAGGCAAGACAGTCTTGAGCACTTCAATAGATGCATACCCAGAAAAAAGCATGTGCCCTAAAAACACTTGTATTTTTCCTTTAGTTTTCCAGCTGTTTCTATGTATAGCTCTGTAAAGAGATCACACTCAGTACTTGACTGATTTTCAAGACAGTGGCCCCAACTCTTCCCACCACAGCTGTGCTTGACAAAATTAGCAAACAGCTAGTCTTACAGGGAAGGAAAAAAAAGAATGAATGAAATCAAGTTGAGCCAAGCTTTCTTACAGCACAGGGATCGGTCCTTGCCCAGACAATGCCAGGACCTGGACCTGGAGCAGCTGAATGAAATATTCGGCCCCTCCTACTTATGCAGGATACTTTTCAATAGGCAAGTTTAAGTGTTATCTCTCTAAATATAAATTGTGGGGACTATTTCTTCCCTCTTCTCTCTCTTGAACATTTCTTATTGATCTCAGGCTTAAAATTAATTAACTCAGAATTATAAAAATTATATGATAAGGGTTGAGACAGAGTGAAGGGCTAACGTTTGCCTACAAAGTGTGAGCTGAGGATCTTGATCCTTCATATCATACTCCCAACCAGAGAACAAATACAAAAATAAACACACATGTTATACATAATACAAAGTGTAAATCTACAAACACAAGTGTACTAATTAGAGTTTTTCCTCAGAAGCACAGTTTCCCTCCAGTCCCTCAGAGAGGAGGAGGAATGGGGACGGGATTTTTAAGACAGCTTTTCATGTCTTAAAAAGTTTGTAATAACAGTCTCAGTAGCGCAAACAATTTCATGTGAAACCAGAAGCTGTAAAAATAAATTACTTTTGAAGAAATGTAGGTTCCTCTGTCTGCAGCTCAGAACTCGTCATGTCGTACTAAGGCCTCACCAAAATCTGTGGCCTGGCTACCCACAAATAAATCATACTTGTCAACAATCTCCTCCTTGGTAAGCTTGCCATCCTGAAAGTAGAAAGAACAGTGAATTGATGCAAAATATATTTCTTATTTCAAATCTAGAACACTGTTAACATACAACAGGGGTTAGTCAAGATTTACGATTCTAATTCCCACTAAATTAAATGTGAACTCAATCCTCACTGCCCACCCCCAACACACACACACACACACACACACACACACACACACACACAAAGAGGGAAGTAAACAGCAGTTGATACATTTTTCTTAATGCTAGGGATATGGGTTTGTTTTTTGAGAAGAAAACACTCCCTTTCGAGCAAAATGTGGGACATCTCCTAGATATGGGTAAGAGATAGTCAAGAATAGCCAGGAAAAATACTTCAAAGTGAATCAAGTCTTTGTCTAACAGGAACAATGAAATATGCTAATATCAAGCACAGTCTTCAACTCCAAAATGACCTAGTCACCAATCAGATTCCAGACAGAACCCCAAATGAAGGCTCAGATACTCATCTCAAGAATTAGCTAGGCTAGATTCCCAAGGGATGACTACATCAGTTTCCTTTTCTCACATGTCTCAGGACACAGCACCTGGCTACTGAAGTGACTGAGCAAGAACTCAAAACAGACTGACCCTCAAAAAGGCTCAATAAGAAACTGCATCAGGAGCCTCCCCGGTGGCGCAGTGGTTAAGAATCCGCCTGCCAATGCAGGGGACACGGGTTTGAGCCCTGGTCCGGGAAGATCCCACATGCCGTGGAGCAACTAAGCCCATGAGCCACAACTACTGAGCCTTTACTCTAGAGCCTGTGCGAGCCACAACTACTGAAGCCTGTGCCTAGAGCCTGTGCTCCGCAACGAGAGAAGCCACCGCAATGAGAAGCCTGCGCACCAAAACGAAGAGTAGCCCCCGCTCACCACAACTAGAGAAAGCCCGCGCGCAGCAACAAAGACTCAACGCAGCCAAAAATAAATAATTTAAAAAAAGAAAAAAAGAAACTGCATTAAAACCGAAGATCAGTCTAAATAAAAGAACATTTAGAATTCTAAAATCCCCCAACTTTAGACTGATTTTCAGTTTGCTCTAAGGAGAGCATTCAAATCTCTGAAAAAGGTGACAGGGCTCAGTAGTAACACCACTCTTTTAATGAACTGAATGCCTTCTCAGATAACTGATCAAGGGTAATTTTAACAGGTTTCAGAGAAAAGCTGATTTATAAGCTCCTACAAACGATTTAATTTTAAAAAGCATATTTGATTTAAGAAGGAAACAACCAGCTTTGAGTAGGCAAAATGAGCCTGTAAAAGATCAAAGAACAAAGGAAATAACAACAAAAAAGCAAAGAAGATTTCTCGGGGTTCCCAACATAGCAGATGATGCACGCTGGGCACAGGCTATATCCAGAGGCTCTTTCTGAGGCCTAAATTTCTCCAATGCTGGGAACACTGGGCAAAGGGACTTCTAAAATGAGATCAGAGAGCTAGCACTGCCCTGTAAGTTTTCAATCGCCAACTTTAGATCCATAGCAGACTCAAACTAATTAAGACCTTAAATGCTCCATGTACCTCAAGAGGAATTTTTTAGGCAATCCCCTAGAAACAGACTTCGATCACTGATAGATTGTTTGGGCCTGGACAGACTTACCTTGTTTTGGTCGGATTCGTAGACTAGGTGCCTGGCTTCTGCCTCTGCATGATCATAGTCTGAGGGAAGGATCCAGTCTTTGGTCTCTTCCTTATCCATCTTCCCATCTCGGTTCTTATCTCGAAACTCAACAAACTGTTCTCTCTCAGTCTTTACCCATTCTGGCTCATCAGCATTTCCATCATGGCTGTACATGTCACCTGTGTGAATACACATCCACACAGAAGATGAGTTTGTCTTTTCTCAAAGACTGCCCCATGCAAATCTGACCTGACCCTTTTTCCTCATTCATCAGTTTGGAACCTAACAGCAGTTATAAGGGTATTTTAGGTCAGAGAGACCTTAAGAAGCAAGGAGTTTTCCTGATGTGTGATTATTGATCTTGCAACAAGAATATTTCCAGCTGTTGGTCTTGAATGATATGAGAGCAAAGAGAATCCTTTAAAAAAAATGCAGAAACAAAGGGAGATGACTAGTGTCAAGAAAGGTGAAGACCAGGACTTCCCCGGTGAAGCAGTAGTTAAGAATCTGCCTGCCAATGCAGGGGACATGGGTTCAATCCCTGGTCCAGGAAGATCCCACATGCTGCAGAGCAACTAAGCCCATATGTGCCACAACTACTGAGCCCACGTGCCACAACCACTGAAGCCCACGTGCCTAGAGCCCGTGCTCCACAGTGAGAGAAGCCACCACAAGGAGAAGCCTGTGCACCACAACGAAGAGTAGCCCCCGCTCGTTGCAACCAGAGAAAGCCGGCACAGCAATGAAGACCAAACACAGCCAAGAATAAATAAATAAATAAATTTTTTAAAAAATAAATAAATAAAAAGAAAGGTAAAGACCAACTTTCATAAGATAGTTGTTCCCTACATTCCATTTCACTACTAATTAACCCGACCACTAGTTTTAGAAAGATGTGGTTTTAAATCCTAAAGAAAACTTGAGAGGTCTATAAGTCAAACTGTCCACCAACCAATTACAGAGTATACTTTTTTTTTTTTTTTGCGGTATGCGGGCCTCTCACTGCTGTGGCCTCTCCCGCTGCGGAGCACAGGCTCCAGACGCGCAGGCTCAGCGGCCATGGCTCACGGGCCCAGCCGCTCCATGGCATGTGGGATCTTCCCGGACCGGGGCACGAACCCATATCCCCTGCATCGGCAGGCGGACTCCCAACCACTGCGCCACCAGGGAAGCCCGAGAGTATACTTTTTTTTTTTAAGTATTTAAAAAAGAATTTTTTTTTTTTTTTTTTTTTGGCCGCGTTGGGTCTTTGTTGCTGCGCGTGGGGTTTCTCTAGATGTGGCGGGCGGGGGCCACTCTTTGTTGCAGTGCATGGGCTTCTCATTGCAGTGGCTTCTCTTGTTGCAAAGCACAGGCTCTAGGCGCACAGGCTTCAGTAGCTGCAGCAAACAGGCTCAGTAGTTGTGGCGCACAGGCTTAGCTACTGTCAAAATTCTTTTAGGAATTACATGAGTGAAAGTCTGAAGACTCCTAAAGTACACTATATCAAAAGTAAGTGTACATGCATTTCATGTAAGGTATGGGAACACACCTAATATAAGTCTAAGTAACTTCTAAAGAGTTATTTACTTGTGATAAAAGTAATTTGTATGTTGGGACCCATAAAATGGAGGCTGCCCCAGTGGCCCGGCCCATGCCACAAATCTAAACCTAAGTCAGCCCACACTGCTAAGAAAACCTAACATATATCAATCACAACCCTCCAGCTCAGCTTCAGTCAACTTACCTTACCCTTAGAAAAGATGACCTGCTATCTTTATAAGGAAATCCCTGACCTCCTAGCCAATCATGTCCTGCATCTGAGTTGCTCCTCTAATGTTTTATAAAGCCTGCTCTTGCCCAAAACCCCCTAGGAAGAATGCTCCACTGCTTGTGAGGTACTTTACTCCCCCCAATCCATGGATTGTTTTCCTTTGAATAAAGGACATCAAACTTGTTACTAAATTCTACTATTTGCAGCATTTTACAGTTGGCACTGTCATTTTCCTGAACTTGAGGGTTAAGAGTAGAACTACTCCTTTCTGTCTTAAACACAAATTGCGAGTCTAAGAGCAGGTCTTGCCAATTCTTTTTTCATGTTACAGCACATTCAGAAAACGCAGTATTTGTACGATCCACTGGCTAGCACCCTGCCCTAGCTGTCCTGAGGGTCAGGGAGACCTTTCACTGTATACAGATTGGGAAATTCTGAAGTAGGGAATACGTGTGTATTAGGAAACGCACGTTAGGAAAACGTGCGTTTAAAAGACATATTTTTCTTTCTTTCTTTTTTTTTTTTTTTAATTTGGCCACACCACACGGCATTCAGGATCTTAGTTCCCCAACCAGGGGTCAAACCCGGCCCCCGCAGTGCAAGTGCCGAGTCCTAACCACTGGACCACCAGCGAATTTCCTGAAAGACATGCTTTTAATAGAAGCTAGAATATACAACATAATGTAAATGCATCTTAAAGCTAGAAGAGTAAGGATAAGAATTAATACTATTTAATTTTCTATTAAAAAATTCAACCTGGGCTTCCCTGGTGGCGCAGCTGTTGAGAATCTGCCTGCCAATGCAGGGGACATGGGGTCGAGCCCTGGTCTGGGAAGATCCCACATGCCGCGGAGCAACTAGGCCCATGAGCCACAACTACTGAGCCTGTGCGTCTGAAGCTTGTGCTCCACAACAAGAGAGGTCGCGAGAGCGAGAGGCCCGCGCACGGTGATGAACAGTGGCCCCCGCTCGCTGCAACTAGAGAAAGCCCTCACACAGAAACGAAGACCCAACATGGCCATAAATAAATAAATAAACAAACAAACAAATACAATTTAAAAAATTCAACCTATATAATGATATTAAGGAATTACTAATTTTTTGAGATTTTATTTAAAAATTTTTAGAGATACATATGTAACTTAAGAGAGATATAACCAAATGTTTACAGATGAAATGAGATGCTGATTGGGATTTACTTCAAAATAATAAAGGAGGTAAGACGTGGATATGGATTTAAAAGGATTGGCCATGGGTTGATGGCTGCTGGGACTGGGCGTAAGTACAGGGGATTCATTACACTATTCTATTTAATTTTGTGTATGTTTGCAATGCTGTATAATAAATTTAAATGGTTCAACAGTATAACTCTGGGGACTTATTAATGCTAAATTTAAGAGGCAAAGACCATTTGTTTCTTTTTGATCTTTCCTCTCAACAGGGCAGAAACTAGCATACCCCTAGAAACTGGAAGATACTGTTTGGGAGACTTTTTAGCTTTTACAAAGCCCGGCACCCAAGATGTAAAAGTGTTTGCATTAGTTGATGATTTGCAAAACAAAGTCATACACACACAGTTGATAGTTTCAGTAGTTTCAAGAAACAATTGATCTATATGATGGGAGGGAGATGTAAGTATCTCTTTATTCGGCCCCAATGCTTGATAAATGATGGTACTTAACTGTTATAAAACTTAATTCCTCTCAAGAGGTTCAAAATGAGTTCCTCCGTTTTAGCAATGGTGATAAAATGGCAAAAACCAAGAATTAAAAGATAAATTATTAAAAAAAAGAAACAGTCGACTTTGAGATGGGCTCAGTAAATGCACCCAGACATTTATTTCCACTGTGCTGATGAACTCCACTAAAAAAATCATTTTGGAAAAAAATTCCATCTTCCCACTGCTTACCCCTCTCAAAGTACATCATGGAGTCTTAGAAGAAAAGAGTATTCAAGGAGTAATTCAACTGGAATAACTCTAGAAAATAAATAGCAGGTATAATTAGACAAAATTTGAGTAAAGGAGTGACTTGTTCAATGGACTGAAGTGACATACAGGGATAGAGGTAAGGGCTTAAGTCTCCCTTTCACACTTAAAATGAACATTCCAGGTAAAGATCAGAAGCCTAAAAACAAATTGTCTTATGAAACACAAAACCAGTGGTGCACTAGAATTAAGTTACTATGAGTAAAAATAATAATTGGAAATATAAAATTATCTAGTATCTTTTAAAATGGAATAACATTTGTAACAAAGACATTTGTAGTATCTTCCATCTCTTCTCCTTTACTTATGCTAATTTCCATCACACTAATTGTGTAACAATTTGCTCAACTACTTGCTAAGAGGCAGCTCCTTTTTTTTAAAGCAATGGGAAAATCTTGAAATTATTTTGAGGATAATAAAAATAGCTTTAGGGACTTCCCTGGCAGTCCAGTGGTTAAGACTCTGCACTTCCACTGCAGGGGGCACGGGTTCGATCCCTGGTTGGAGAACTAAGATCCCACATGCTGCATGGCATGGCCAAAAAAAAAAAAAACTTTACTTGAGAGAAAGGTATAGCATCTAAAATAAACAGACAACTTGAAGGTATAGTAGCATCTAAAATAAACAGACAACTGGGAATTCCCTGGCAGGCCAGTGGTTAGGACTCCGAGCTTTCATTGCTGAGGGCAAGGGTTCGATCCTTGGTCAGGGAACTAAGATCCCACAAGCCGAGGTGTGGTCAAAAAAGTAAAAAAAAAAAAAAGAAAAAGGAAAAGAAAAGAAAACAAAACCAGACAACTAAAAGGAAAAATGGCAGAAAGGAGTGATTTTTAAAAAAAGACGAAAGGAAACAAATTAGAGAATCTAGACAGAAAACATGAATAGAATACAGCGAAAAGGAAAGACTAAGAGGAATCAACAGCTCTTAGTCACCCAACTGTCTCTTTTGTCCTATTTCCGTTTCCTAATGCCAGTCTAGGCTCCCTGCAACTCCTTACTGTCAATTCCACAGGGCATCTGGGATGTACTATTTCAGTGCTGTCCACTACAGTAGCCACTGGCCACATGGGGCTACTGAGGACTTGAAATGTGACTGGTCCAAACTGAAATGTGCTTTAGTGTAAAATAAACTTTTGAAGATTTGTAGAAAAAAAAACCCTCAATGATTTATGTTGATAAAATGTTGAAATTATAGTATTTTGGAATCTTAGGCTAAATAAAATACACTATTGAAATAAATTTCATCTGTTTCTTTTTATTGTTTTTGATGTGGCTATTAGAAAAGTTAAAATTATGTATGTGGCTCACATTTACATTTTGATTTGCCAGTGCTGCTACAGACACTTTATCATGACCCCCTATTCCTCACACTGGTCTGACTTAATGATGTGCTGAGAGTTGACCCATGGGGTAAATTGTTTCTATTGGTGAACATATCTTCCAAAGCTTCTCAGCTTCTTCTAAGAAAAACACTAGAAACAGACTTACCAATATACTCCTCCAGATCAATGAAACCATCAGCATTCTTATCTATATCTTCCATTGTTTCCTAAACAGAAGAGAGTAATTAGACTTAGTATCTGGATGAGTTAGTTTAGGCAATTATTTGTCATTCATTAAAACACACACACACACACACACACACGTTTATGTAGATGTGTGTGGGTATGGTTAATCCATAGGAAATTGTGGTTTTTCTAGCTGAAAGAATGGTAAAATATTATCAATTTTTTATGCTTCAGCTTAAAATAACTAACAGTCTTCTTGAAGGAACACTTAATAGTGAACTACCCCATCAAGCCCATGATGATCTGGTAGCCCTAGTCATGCTTAACTCTAACAGGAGATGTGACCAGTGAGTACATCTACAGCTATAGTCTATGTTTTATCAGTAACTGCCTTCTGTGAAAATTCTTTAGTATCACTGTCATTACTCAGTGCCTGATATTTTAAAAAATAGGATTTCCCCTCATGCTTACAGTACGAAGCCACCAATGAATGGCAAAATACATAATCTGATGGTACGTATTGTCATACTAAACAGAAAGCTTAAAGCACCATCAAGATCACAGAAAAACAGAGTGACAGAGCTTGGACTCAATCTGGCCAGCACTTGTATAGCAAGTCATTCTTCTAAATACAGAGGAAAGGCTAAAGAGGAAAGCATAAGCAACAAAAAGAGAAAGTTTCCATTGAGAATCCTTGCTCTCACCCCACCCACCTGTACCACTATATCCTTCATGTAGTCATACTCCTCAGGGTGCAGGAAAGCTGTGAATTCCTCCTTTGTGGCAATGAGGTCTCCATCCTTGTCTGCCATTTTAAACCTCCGCTCATCTCTAACCATCATCTGTTTATAGTTAAATCCATCATCAGGGTCTGGATCATCTAGAAAAGAAAAATTTAGGTCAAATCTTAAAAGACTTCCAGAAAACATGAAAATGTATGGGGAATCAATTTCCAAGAAAGATAAACCAAGCACTGAAGAATTAATTCTTGATTACTCAGGTAAAATTGCAGCAGTATAAAGACATTCAGTTTTGGTAATCAAAGACCTCAAAATCAGGTCTGAGTTGAATGCAAACGCTTGCCATTCAACATGGAACCCTGGCTCCTGGACTGTGTAATCCGTTATGTAATGCTTCACTGTCACTGCTCTTGGGGCAACCAAAGAGCTTGAGTTTTCTAGATATATCCAAGGGGCAGCGGTGGTTCTAAAGTCATACTTAGTTTGAATCCTAACTCTACCACTTCTTAGCCATGTGACCTTGGGCAAGTAACTTAACTGTACTTCAATTTACTCATCTGTAAAATGGAGATAATAACAGTGCTGGCCTCATAGGGTTGTTGTGAGGCTAACTAAGCAAATAAATAGAAGTTAAGTGCTAGAACAGTGCCTGGCACAGAGCTGGCTTTTAATAAACGTTAGCCATTGCTATGTCGATTAAACATTAGGTTCTCATTAAAAAGCCAGATATCAGGAATTCCCCGGCAGTCCAGAGGTTAGGACTCTGAGCTCTCACTGCTGGGGGCCTGGGTTCAGTCCCTGGTCGGCAGAACTAAAATCCCACAAGCCGCACAATGCAGCACCCCCCTGCCCCCCTCAAAAGAAGCCAGACATCAAAGGCCTTCTATCCCATTATAGGCCATCTGGATTCAAGTACCAGAACAACACCACTTTGAATGGCCACACTTTAGTTTCTTAAGCCAACTCAGAAATATACCATGAGATACAAATACTGTTCACTACCCCCCCTCCCCAATTTCTGTAAACTTCTAGAAAATGCAAATAAATTCGAGTTACAGAAAACAGATCAGTGGTTGCCTTGAGGATTATAAAGGGACACAAGGAAACTGTTTGGGGTGATGGAAATGTTCATTTATTTCGATTGCAGTGATGAGCTCACCGATACATACATCTGTCAAAACTCATCAACTGTGCATTTTAAATCCATGCAGTGTATCGTATGTCAGTTATACTTCAATAAAGCTGTTACAAAAGATAAATATTAGATTACAACCAAATGAAATTTGGATTTATCCATCTGTTAGGATGTTGAACTGCACAAGCAGTAGTTATTTAGTCTCTCCGTAAGAATCTAGAAAAATGAAATTTTGTTTCTTTAAGTTGAAAAAATGTGGAGTTAATGGCAGAAAAGGAAAAAAAACCCTTTTCATTCTGAGTTGCCGTATGGACCTAATAAGGTAACATGTGAAGATATTTTGAAAGGAAAAGACACCATATTAAAGGTAAGAAATGATTGTTCCTACAACATATTGGTCAAATTTTTAAAAAGATACAGCACTAGTTTTATAAAAATGACCCACAGGGTCCCTTAATAACATTACACTGCTGACTTTCGATACTGTAGTTCAATCTTTCCATACTTCAAGCACAGTTAAAAACAACAACAATAAACTACTGCTCTATTTTGAGAGATGAGCAATTTGAAGCTTCATTCTTTGTTGAGTGTCAAAATTCAGTGAGATAGTTGACTGGATCATGAGGCTTTGCGGACCCTATACGTGTATACTCAAAGCCGTAACAGGTTAGAGACAAAGAATTTAAGGAAAGTACGATCTTTCTCAGATACTGAGTCATTTCTTCTAAACAAATAAAGCTTCAGTACAAACTATGTAACATAAATAAGAAAGATAACAGAAGACAACTTATATATTAAGAGTAGATTCTTAGCTAAGAGCCCTTCTATCCTCCTTAGTTAAACCATGGTGGCTGGAATCAAGTAGCCCGATAACATGCACATATATAAGGATGAAAAAGGAAGCTTTAAAACTTTATTTTTATTTTTTTAAACTTTATTTTTAATGACTAAACTCACGTGCCTATCATCACTGCTCAGAGTGCCATTGTCTTGTCTTAAGCACCACTTTACTGGGCTATCTGGCCTGGGTAGGCTCTTGGTCTAGTTCTGGTGGAGGCAGGGTGGATCGCAGTACCTCACATTTTACTTGTGGCAGAGACAGGGTTAATGCTCCTTTTGTGGAAAGCAGACTAAAAGCTAAAGTGATTTATACCTGAACTCAGCTGAACCAAGAACACGCTTTCACAAAAACTCCTCAGCACTTTTGTAAGGCACCTCATTACCCCAAGTACTGTCCAGCCACAGGCCTCCAGGGAAAGATGCCTTATAAAGACATTGTTTCTCCAGCCAGAGCTTCAGCTTATGCAGTCTCAGTCAGTAGAAATACCCATTACATTGAATCATGTGCCCTGTGAGGCAACAAAGCTCTCAACACATAATCATACAAAGAGTTCAAGATTCATTCTGGACAGCAAGTGAGTGACTAGGTCTGAGCTGGGATTTATTAACACACCATTCTATTGAGATCACCAATAGCCTACCCCCTGCTTTACATTTATAATTAATTCCAAATAAATCAGAGGGTGTTGGGTCTCAGCCAGAGAGCAAGAAGCATGGATGCCTCTCTATCTGCGCTGACTTTTTAATACACTTGTTTTTAATTGGGTGAAGGATATGTTTGGTTCTTGGGTAAGTGTCAAGCATAGAGAGAGACTGCCACTCTAGTCTTAGGAATGAGAACAAGCCTGATACAGAAATAAAAATCTGTTCAACAGAAATGCATGCAGTCCTGTAATTAACACGGACAGCTGGCTATCCAGCGGGGGGAAACAGACCATCATACACTCACTGCTTGTTAGTTGGTGATGGAGAATGCCTGCTTTAACCCAGAAATTTACTTAATTTCCAGAATAAAAATGCAAGAAGTAACATTTATACATTCTTGCCTCAAACTGTAACCATGTGCAATAGAGGAATCTCACTAACAAAAACACCCTAAGTCTTCAACTCAGTAAGATCGCCACCTAGCATTCAACAGCAGGCAAGTGTAATAAGTAAAAGAAAATGACTAACAGGTGGCCCAAGCATACAAGCTACCAAATCAACAGAAAGCAATCAAAGTCACATTTATTTGCCTTGAAGCATTTGCAAAGCAGGCTGATAAACTCATGTGCCAGAGAAAACAAATGGGAAATAATTCATTTCTAAACTTCAGTAAGCAGACATACTGAAATAATTAAATTTCATCAAGGAAAGCTATTATATTTGATCTTTATTTTATTAAGGAAAAACAGTAATTTTCCTTCTATTCTCACCAGTTACAAAGAAATCTAATTTGGTTTGAATTTCAGGTCCAACACTTTAATGTGACCATGTCAGGCTTTGAGACATCTCAAAGCCTCTTGCTTTTGCATTGTTGGAACAATGCAGCCTTTTAAACAAGATCTACTACAAAAATGGTCTCTCTGCGGGATGACAGGAAGAAAAAATGGGGAAATATATCTGAAATGCTAATGATGTTAAAAGATGTCAGACCTTAGAAAACCAAAATAAAACAAATTTAAAAAAATACATAATATACAACTTCAAAATTAATAAAGGGAAGGAGAATCAGCTCAGCATCAAACTATCTCAGATACGCATAATTTCTTCCTTTCCTTCACTGTGTGACCCATTTGTTTCTTTGACTCAAGACCATGGTCTCTGCCAGGCTGACATCTTGCCCCTTACCCAGGTAAGTGCCATAAGTCACGTTTCTGTACTCATCCCAGGAGATTAAGCCGTCTTGATTCAAATCAAACTCCTGCCATTGGTTTTCAACATTGTCATATATGTATTTCTTCTGGGCGTGCTTAATCCAGGATTTCAGCTCCCCCTCCGTCACAAACCCATCTTTATCCGCGTCTATTTTATCTACAATCATTCTACAAGACAAAACAGTTACGTTTCAAGGTGCCGGCTCCACAAAGCTTTTTCCCCCAGATAGTAGGGACCTACCTAAAACGTAGCCGTAGGTGGCATTTTTATACTCTTCCCAGGAAACGAGGCCGTCCTCATTGAGGTCATGCCCCTTCCACTGTCGCTCTACATCCTCGTAAATCCAGCGCTTTTGTGCAAATTTAATCCAGTCTTTGAGCTCATCCACAGTGACAAACCCGTCCTTGTCGCCATCTATTTTACTTACAATCTTTCTGTAGAAAATGCAGAGAAATCCAGCAAGAGGTTAAAAGGACACTAGGCTCTGGACTTAGCCAGGTGTGTGCTGTGGGCACAGGTGTTGCCCAGAGCTAAAGCATGGAAATAAAAATTGTTTCCAAAACAAAACTGCCAGACAGGCCATTGAAAATTTTTCTCTTAAGTGCCCGTTGCTGGTCTGAACTGAGCCATCCAGACAAGGCAAGCACAGTCCATGGCTGGTGTACTTGGATCCAAAAGTGAATCCGGACTATCCCTTTAGAGGTAGGTTTCAGCCGATGGTCAGAATTCAGGAGTGAATATCCATTCCTATCTGGGTTCTCCACTCTTAGCATCAAACAACACATAAATCTTTGTATTTTTCTTTATTGCTTTTACGAGAATCTCAATTTCTGGGTAAACAATCACAACCACTGACTTGGTTTTCTAAAAATTCAAAAATTTAAACCAGACTTTAAAATAATTCAGCTGTGTTTTCAAAAAAAAAAACCAAAACACTTCTGTTAAAAATACAAAGATATCAAATATAGTTCCAGGATCACTTATACCTAAAGTCAAGATTACTTTTTTTAAAACCCCAAAACAGGTACACAGAGACAGAAGCATGCTTATTTTTAAAAATGGCTAGCAGTTTATTATACACTATGTTGAACTGGATGTTTACATATAACCACAAAACCAGAGAGCTCTGAAGAAGTAATGTGGTAAGAATGTATATCCCTGATTATGAGAATGTTAATAAGCTGAGAGGGTTAGGGTGCAGGTGATAAAGCAAAACTACAAAGCTAAAGAATCAATATACTTTGCCCTCCATGAGTTTCTTTCTTCTAGATCTGTTATGTTAATGACAGACATTTTTTAAATGATTTATTTAAGGATTTCAAAATATGTGCATGATATGAAAACTTCTGTTTAAAGATGCAGTCACTTACTTATAGAAGCTAAGACAGCCTATGTAAAGTCACAAGAACTTTAAATCAAAACTTCCAATGGGGGACTTCCCTGGCGGTCCAGTGGTTAAGACACCGTGCTTCCACTGCAGTGGGCACAGGTTCGATCCCTGGTGGGGAACTAAGATCCGGCATGCCGCACAGTGCGGCCAAAAAAACAAAACAAACAAAAAACCCCAACAACTTCTAATGGAATTGATATCTTGGCATACTCCTATGCTCTGTTACTTGTAGGACTGAAGAAGACTGTTGTTTGGTAGCAAATAATGTTTTTCCCCAGTTTGTATTCATCTCATGAATACAACACTGGAAAGTGATTAGAATCACTGAATACAAGCAACACAAATTCATCTTGATATTGACATGCTGTTAGCCATGATTGTCTATTACTTAAATCTTGTAATTAACAAGCATTTTCCTTCAGAGAATCTTACAGCTTTTGCTCTAAAATGTTAAAAGGTAAAGCAGTAAGAAGTCACCTCAAATATCCTCCTCTATCTACATGGACACGGGACAAAAAGTTTTTGCAACTTGAACCTGTAGAATCTTAAGAATATTAATAAATTAAGTTTTAACCGCCCCCAAGCTTCTGCATTATCTATAATGGGATCCAGTTTGTGTCCGTAAGGTATTGGCTACCAAGATTGCCACTGTACCATTAAGAAAAAAAGGGCAAGGTACTTATTCCTGAAAGAAAATTTTAAACTATTATAAACAGCCTAAAGAGAAGGAACACTCAGATAAAAAAGGCATCTGACTATTTAAGATGGGCTTTTCCTAATGAAGTTGGCTAAATGCCATTCTATTCATCCCAACAGAAATATCCCAAATGGTTTAATTCAGAGGTTAGCAAACTTTTTCTGAAAAAGGACAGATAAGAAGAAATTTTCAGTTTGTGGGCCACATATGGTCTGTCACATATTTTAAAAACAACAACAAAAATAACCACAAAACCATTTAAAAATAAAAAAGCCATCCCTATCTTGCTAGCTATCCAGCCTGCAGGCAGCTGTGAAAGTACATTGGAAGTGGGCATGTCCTATTTTAGGCATGAAGCTCTAAACTCGGATCTTTGAAAGCCTGTGTAAATTTATGAAGCTAATGGTGTTATATTTCTATGATACTGGAGAACCCTACAGAGCCATGATGCCACTAAATCAGCACTCACTCCAGGACAGACACAATGTACCTAGTGGATCTTATATTATTTCTAAGAGGTAACATATGCCTCTACATTTCAAAAGGCATCAAACAAATCCTTTGACTTTTTAAGAACCTGGGTCAATAAATGGGCTCCAGGAGGGTTCAAAATATTCCAGAAATTTTCAGCATGCAAAATTTTATATATATTCATATGTAGGCACTTTCCCTTAGCTTTCACTAGACTGCCAAAGGGACTGGGCCTGTGACCCAAAAAAGGATGATGAACTGCTCTAGTTCATTTCTACAGCAAATATATCAAGGGTGAAAACTTTATTAAGGACCACCACCTCAAAATAAATAATCATTTGAAGGACACATAAATGAAAATTAAGTATATTTAGACTTCTTGGGGGTGGGGTTGAGAATACATACACAAGAAAAAATCTTCTATTTGTCAACATTCTTCATAAGAAAAAGGAACTAAAAACGGGATATTAAAATTGTTTTTAAGTGCTTCCTGAAGTCTTTTAGGTATTATAACTAAGGATTTAAAAATAGTAGTGAATTTTTGCAACTAGAGGTATAGACAATGATCTTATCTCCTAATAGTTACTGGCCTCCTAGATAGATGGAAAAGGGGGAATCTGTTGTTGCCAACCTCTGATGTATAGTCACGTACCAAATAATGTTTAGAAATGCCACAGTAAGTTAAAAGAAAAAAAAAAAGTTCACCTGGAATTCTTGCTTGCAACAGTACATCACCTTATAAACTGGAAATATTTGCCATTATCTCCATTTTGGGAGAAGAAAATAGTACTTGGTTCATTCATACATTCCATGAAAAACATGATTTTAACCATCTTATTCTAATCAAATATGGAGTCGCTCATGTGTTGAACTTTTGATATTTACTGATGACAAAAAGAAACATTTTCTCTCTACTGAAGACTGTTAGCAGAGCTATTCCAGTACCTACACAGAGCCAGAACACCAAACCTAAGGGCCCTTCATTATTTAACAGTAATTCTGCAGAGACATGTGCAGACCAAAATGTAGGCTGGACATGCACGTTATGCAAGACACGAAGACTGAGAACGCCCTCATGCATCCCTATTTTCAGCCTGGAATGTTAGCACAGTTATAAGATTAAAATTAAAAGTGAGCATGGTCCCTTAAAGTTAGAAAAACAACCTAACAGAAGACTAACTCTTTGATAAATTTCTGTTTTCTCTATCTACTTTCAAATGTTTTAGGAGTTTCTCATTCTACACAGCAAAATCTTTTTATTGTTTCTGTGAGTGTTTAAGAATAAAATATTATATCCTTCAGTTAGCAGAAAACCCGTTGAAAGAATAAATTTATTTTGAAGTACCACCCGAAGCAAATCCTATAACGTCTTCTAATCACAGCACTATCCATGGGCAAAATATTTTTGGAAATTCCTATGTGGTATAACTTTTCAGACAAATCTCTTGAATATAGTTCAGAAAGTTACACCAATGGTAGCCTTTCATTGAGGAGAAAATGTTCACTGAATTAACCTGCATTTCCTTAAAAAGCAAGGCTTTGAAAGAGCTAAAAAAGACATTCTCAGATCCTCAGAAATAATCAACTGGAATTCTACCAAATCAACTCTTTAAATAAAAAGATGCCTGCTGAGAGAGCCACAGAACCTGACTATGGCCCAGCTGTTACTGAAATAGCAACACATACTCTGACATTAAGACCACTGCTTATTACAACCTTCTAAAAGGCAAGGTTGAGGGACTTCCCTGGCGGTCCAGTGGTTAAGACATCGCCTTCCAATGCAGGGGGTGCGGGTTCGATCCCTGGTCAGGGAGCTAAGATCCCATGTGCCTCACGGCCAAAATACCAAAACAGAAACCAGAAGCACTACTTTAACAAATTCAATAAAGACTTTAAAAATGGTCCACATTAAAAAAAAAAAAAAAGCAAGGTTGGTTTGGTTTTGTTTTTGATTAAGCAAATATCTGACAATGAAACCAAAGAGGGTGAAGGACATCCTTGGAAACCATAAACTCTACAGAAATTAGTCAGTCCAGGAGTCTAATTTGCAGTTTATTATCCACTCAAAGACTTGGCATGGTCAGTAATAAATAGGTCACAGATAGTTTTTAAAAATTAAAAGCAACAGGTTTGAGAAAACCCCCATGTAATGTTCCTTTGGGGTCAAGATGATGCAGTTTAAGCTGAGTCCTACAGTATTTGGCAATTTTATGCATAAATGACTTTGCTTTGTAGAACGAGGTAAAAACTATTATTCAATGGAGAAATGCAGGAAAGCGCTTAAATTTTAGTGGTAGCAATTCTGTGGTTAGTTTTCAGAAGATGTAGTTCAATACAGCTTTACTGAGTGACTGAGCCAAAAGAGAAAAAAAGAATGAGTTGATTTATAAAGAAATGTCATTATTCTAACTAGCTCCCTGAGAGCTGACACCTTACCCAAGTCTTTCCTTGCTCTCTTCTGGTGTCAGCTGATCAAAGGTTTTTGCTTCTTCAGCACCCAAGAAGGCATCATGGTCATAATCAAAACTCTGAGCATCATTGTGAACTTTGTCACTGAGCTGAGGCTCATGGTGTACACGGTCCTTCTTTTCCGTGGGCTTGCTCAAGGCAAAGGCTGTGCACAGGGACAGGCATGTAAGAAACTGTCGCAGGTCCATGATAATCAGATCTTAAAGAAAAAAGAAAGGTAGTTCATTCAGGAAGCAGTATGCTTAATAATGAAACAAGAAATTAAAAGCGCACATCCAGTTACAATATTAATTTGATATTATCCCAAATATTATTACTTAATCCATAAAAAAAAGTATGGTAGAATATCAGACTTTCCAGTTTTACTCTGAGAAATATTCACCAGTTTTCTTCATCTGATTGTAGGCTGACAACAAGGAATTACTAGGAACATCCACCTTGTAAGTGGTCTCACTTCAAAAACACCAAAGTAGAACTTTAATTCTTTTGCCCAAGTTCCTAAGATTTAAAAGTGAAAGGACCAAGATTTAAATCCAGACCTACTGACTCCAAATACTTTACCTTTGTACTATATCTGTGGTCTGGTCTTCAAACCTGGCTGGTTATTAGGATCACCTAGGAAGCTTTATTAAAAAAAAAAAAAAAAGTTTCCCCTACTGAATTAGAATCTCTGAGGCTGAACCCAAGCATTTGTAGTTTTAAATGGTTCCCAGGTGATTCTAATGGTTGTCAGATAAGAACCAATGATCACCTTCAAAGATCAAACCACTGAGATGGTACAGTGATGGATAACTGCCTTATCATTCTGTATACTTGTGTTTCCCAAACCTACCCAGGTATAAGGACCACCTGGAATACTGTTCAAAGTACAGATTCCCCAGCTCTACACTGTACGTTCAGAATCTCTGCAGTCACAGGTGATTCTGATGAACAAGCACAAGGCTGGAACACGATCGAAAACAGTGAAAAAAATTGCAGAGAAGCTGCAGGATAGAAACTGTTTAGAACTCTTAACAGATAACCTATAGTACTGTCCAGAGAGGTTAAGGTTTTAGAGAAAACTGTAAAATTAAAAATCAAGGCAGGGGGTGGGTGGGGCAGGGGAGAATTCCCTGGTGGCACAGTGGTTAAGAATCTGCCTGTCAATGCAGGGGACACAGGTTCGAGCCCTGCTCCGGGAAGATCCCGCATGCCATGGAGCAACTAAGCCCATGCGTCACAACTACTGAGCCCTCGTGCCACAACTACTGAAGCTCGTGCTCCTAGAGCCCGTGCTCCCCAACAAGAGAAGCCACCGCAGTGAGAAGCCCGCACACCACAACGAAGAGTAGTCCCCGCTCGCCACAACTAGAGAAAACCCGTGCACAGTAACGAAGACGCGACACCGCCAAATACAAATAAATAAATAAATAAATAACACAAAAAAACAAATCAAGGGGGGACTTCCCTGGCGGTCCAGTGGTTAAGACTCCATGCTGCCACTTGCAGGGGGCATGGGTTCGATCCCTGGTGGGTAACTAAGTTCCTGCATGCCGTGCAGTATGGCCAAAAAATAAAATAAAATAAAATAAAAAATAAAGTCAAGGGGAAAGAGTTTCCCAGGCTTTCATATTTTAACTAATCCTTTATCAGTAGAACACAGATTCTGAAGGCTTCTCCCCTTGTGGTGAGTATAAACTTTTATAATTTCCTATTATCACTTACCCGTTTCCTCTTATGACCAGTGACTCCCTTACTGGATGGGTAGGTGGTTACTGGGCATGAGGCCTGTTGTAGGTTGAACTGTGTCCCCCCGAAAGATATGCTGAAGTCCTAATCCCTGGTGCCTGTGCATGTGACCTTATTTGGAAATAGGATCTTTGCAGATGTAATCAAGTAGGATGGGCTCTAATACAATGGCTGGTGTCTTCATAAAAGGAGGGAAATTTGGATACAGACACAGAGAAGAGAATGCCACATTATGAAAGAGCCAAGGAATGTCAATGATTGCTGGCAACCACCAGAAGCTAGGAAGAGGCAAGGAAGGATCCTCCCTTAGGGCCTTCAGAGAGCATGCCCCTACTAACACTCTGATTTCTAATTTCTAGCCTCTAGAACTGTAAGAGAATAAACTTCTGTCCTTTTAAGCAACGTAGTTTATGGTAATTTGTTACAGCAGCCCTAGGAAACTAATACAAGGCTACAGTACAGAGGGACACAGCATCACATGAACGTTAAATGCATTATCTTGTCCTAATCTGCAGATTAAACTAGCCACAGGCTTCACCTTCCCCAGGATGTCACCAGTGGAACTATCTAATCTAAGGCTCATATTTTATATATACATTTTTTAATTATAAAAATTCTTTCAGCATTGCTTGTAACTCAGTGATCTCAACCTAGACTGTACCCTAAAATCACCTGGGGAGTTTTTATAAATGACCACTGAACCCCACCCTTAACCATACATATTTTTAAAAGGCAGCCGGGTTGAGAACCAGTATTCTAACCAAATTCTCAAATGGCCATAATAATATCTTAAGAAATGTGACTTGAGAGTACACTTAATACGAAGAAACTGCATGTATCTGATCCTGCCTCAAAGTTTTGGGAATTAGAAGGAAGAAAGTGAATTGTGTCAAGGGATAAAGAAATCAAATACGCCAATAAATTAGCCATATTTTTAATGTATCCATCTCCTTGTAACCCCCAAATAGTAACTAAAAGAAGTTACATTGTATTTGCTTGGATTTACAAAGCATTTTGGATTTAATAAACTAAAAAATGCTTAGCGCAGCTAATGGTGAGCACGTTACGTTATATAAAAATTCTTTAAAAGTGGAAGGAAAGAAAATAGAGGAATATGTTTAATACTAACACAATTTAGCTGATTATACAAAGGCACAACCTGAGGCCTCCTTGAGTAACTTTCAGGCTGTAAAAGGGCATACGAGGGCACTATTTGTGTTCAATAGGAAAGCAGCTAAGTGGGGAGGTCCAGAAATGGCAGAGAAGGATATATCAATAGAGAGTAGAAAGTGTTCTAGGGTAACTAGGACAACGCCAAAAAGACAAACAGAAATGTTAGCTAAGGAGATAATGGGAGGCAGTCACTTCCCCAAGAGCCCATTTCAAAAACACACAAAAACGGTAATTTTGCTGGACAGTTGTTAAGACTCATGAAAAGCCATCAGAGGAAACAATGTGGCAGCACTGCCCTAAGACCCACAGAGAAAGGGGAAGAAGGTGGTACTATTCTTAAGCTGTTCACCAATGTTAGTTAGGACTTGGCTATGCTTCTGAAAGTTTATCAATGTTCTGTTTCGTGCTATCCCATCAAAATACCCAAACTTGTATACAAAGACACTTCAATTCAGATGTTCAATGATAACAGTTTATAATGATTTAAAAAAAAAGGAAAATGAACTAAACCAAAGAAGTGGTAAATACATATTAAATCTATATTGTGGAACACAACACAGTTTAAGAAGAATGAAGCGGACCTATTCACACTGAAACTGACAAGGCACCAAGATCTGTTCAGTGAACAAAAACTACAACAGTAAGAAAGCATGTTGTAAAACAATGTCAAGATCTCATTTATATAAAAGCAAAATCCAACAACCTCCCCAGCTTGTTTATATTTGTATAAAATATAACATATATGCACGAAAATGGTGTGGAAGGATAAACATCTATCTGTAAACAGCAATAAGCCCTACGCTGAAGGGAGAAGAGATGGGGTGGGGAGGTAAGGTCCGTGGGGAGTGAACTTCACTACTGTGCTGTGTTGTCTTATTTCTTGTAAATGAGCACACAGTCATGTATTATCTTTTTATGTGTATTACTTTCTAAACAAGAGCATAAAAATTCTTTGCATTTTTAGGTAGCAAAGCAAACATTTTCAAGCCATTTCTCCAGATTGGAAAAGGAGACTGAAGGAAAAACACATATTTATTCTTAAGACACAAACCCTATTTTATAAAGTAAAATAACACTGCCCTATGAGAATAACCCTCCAGCCCACTCTTCAATAACTGAATCCAATCAATCAGATCAGTGGAACAGTAAAGAGAAAATTATATTCAGTGGCTCTCTCAAACATCACAGTATGCCTTTATTTTAGGACAAAATGAAACTTCCATTTCAAATTACAAATAATTCTTCAGACAAATAAAATCCTTTACAGAGATAAGGAATGAGTTTTATGTTGTTATTTTGTGATATATCCAAATAATATCTATAATGTTAGAGGCTTACAGAATCAAGTAAAATCAAGAGTCACTGCAACAGAGGATTTTCCTTATGTCTATTAACAAGGGGGCTTCCCATTTAGGAAAATTTTATAAATGACTAATTACATCCCGAGAATAATACTCTAACAACTCTTGCATAATACCCTGACAACTTCTGCAAACCCCAAATGTTTTAATATGAATTAATGCTTAAGCCCACTAACACTATCAGGGCCTGGGAAGGATACTGTGTAAAGTTCTGATACTGTGTAACATAAAGAAATGTAACAGATTGACTCACTGTGACTCTAGAGGGAAAACTACATTTAAGATTGAGGTGTAACATCTTGATACAGTGATAAAAGAAGAATTTCAGAATATAAGCCAAGTGATTCAGCTTTATCATTTCTCCATCTATCCTTTCCCTTCTCAATTAAACTTTCAATCCTGCCCCTCTACAGGTTCCTCCATTTTGTCAATCAATACTTCTCAGGTCTTCATAATCCAAAATCAGTCTTTCTCAGACTCCCGTTATTCCTTCAAGCATGCTCTTCCCTTTCCTTCACCCATACGGTCTCTAGAAACTGCTGTCTTCGCTTCCTCACCACCTACTGTCACCCTGAAATCTGGGTTTCTATCACAACTGATGAAACTGCCCAAAAAGGTCATCAAGGACCGCCTGCTGGACAAAGCAATGGTCCTACCTTTATCTCTCTGCAGTGGGCAATGAAAAATCTGCACTTTAGTAAGTTTTAAAAACTATGCACTTTGTGCCCACATATAATATATCAACGCCGGGCTATTAGAAACTAAAAAAAGGCCCCTTGTTTTATGAATACAGACACTAAAAAAAGAGACTACTAAATTTATCTAAATCCATATACACATAAAAATGTCCAAATAGAAACAAAGGATATCTCTCAAGACAAAGGATATATAATGTGGGACAATGTGAGAAGGAGTATAAAACAACTTCTTACACAAGGCATCTGAAGAACTATATTAGTGCAGTTATTTCTGAAGCAACTTTCTCTTTTCAACCAAATCAAACCAAATAATAGAAAGCTAAAACCCTTCTCTTTCTCCGTCATGACAGCTATTCATCAGTGGATAACAGAACATTAGGAAAACATAATATAATACATAAATGAAGGACTTGGTTGTATGAGTTTTTACCATATGGTCTAGGTGGGTCTGGCCACAGGTTTGTCAATTTTGTTTACCCTTTCAAAGAACAAGCTGCTCTAGGTTTTGTTGGCTTTTTCTATTGTTTTTTAAATCTCTATTTCCTCTCTGATCTTTATTATTTCCTCTTTCTGCTGACTTTAGGTTTTGTTTGTTCTTCTTTTTCTAATTCTTTCAGGTGGTAGGGTTAGGTTATTTGAGATTT